GCTCCGGTCTGCCTTGACCCGGGACAGTGGCCAGTGACTACATCACCTCTTTTTTTGCTGCTTTCTGCTGGCTCGATCTGTCCTCCACGTCTGCAAATGGCCCTAGTAATAGGAAGCAAAGTGTGCTAATGGCGAATGTATTCTACTAGAGGCGGAAGTTCTGAATGCTTGTTCTCGCTCTGCGGCAGCTATAGGTGTGAAGTTGGGTGAGTCGTGCCACTAGCCCAAACCCCTCTTATATCGTCTGTCAGAAGGGCCGGCCAACACTCGTCATACCCACGTCACAAGGAGTGAAAGCGCCCAGCTCAGATGCCCTTCCTTTTCTTCTTGCTAACCTCAAGTCCTTCCTCTCCCTTCTTTCCCAGCCCCCAACGCCCTCCACACTACGAGTAATCTCTGTCCTCCCAAGGTCCCCAGTAATTTCCCTTGGTAATGACGTCTTTCCACTTCATAGTATAGCTATTCAAACCTGTCTTATATCTGGGCTATAGACTGTGAGGTCCTTGAGAACAAAATCCAACTCATTTATTTTTGCATTCCTTCTGGCTTCCACATGGTGGGTCCTCAGTGAAGATTTGTTGAAAGAACGAAGCAGCTATAATACTTACAGCAGCTGCTCCTGTGGAAAGCCCACTGTAGGCTAGGCTGGGTGACAGGGGTTCTGCCACACTTCATGTCTAAGCCACATAGTTGACCAGCAGGGCATTTACAACGAGAAAAATGATGTCCTGAGAGGTTATGTAGCTTTCCCAAAGTCACTTAGCTTGTAAATGCCTTGCTGGTTGGAATCCTATTTGAACCCATGTCTATCACCCCACTTTCTATCACCAAGCAAGAAATTATTACATACAAAGGGACTTGGAAAGGAGACTAAATTTTATGGTAACCATCCCAAACCCATTGCCATCGAGTTCATTTCGACTCATAGTGACCCTACAGAACTGCCCCATAGGGTTTCCAAGGAGCAGCTGGTGGATTCAAACTGCCGACCTTTTGGTTAGCAGCTTGGGCTCTTAACCACTGTGCCACCAGGGATCTGTGGGGATACATAATTTTTTCTATTCGATTTGATCATCAAAGCACTTTTCTCCTTCCAAGGACTCTGTGTGGATTCTGGAAATCCTGGAGGTCTTGTCGGAAGAGATGGACTTTGAGAGCTGGGAAGAAATCTAAGGCTCTAAAGACAGGAAGCAGAAGAACAGATTACTTTCTTGGGGTTTGAAGCCAGCTCTCAAGGGCAGGCTCCTTCAGTAACCCATCTGTACTCTCCTGTGAGTCTCTTGCCTGAGGAGGGTAGATTATTACTATTTTAAAAAATCATTTGGCTTTACCCACATTGTGCTGGATGGCATGAAGAACAACTCTTATGATAAACAACACTTTTATAATATTGTCTTTCTTTTCTGGATCCCTCTCTCCAGCTGCTTACCCGACTACTCACCCTTTCAGGCCTCTGCTATGCTGATCTCCCTACCTGGAATGAGCTCTTCCTTTTCCATTGTTCTGTTAGGTAAACTCCTGGGTGTCCTTCAAGACTCAGCCCAATGCCATTTTTACTGTGAAGGCTTCTCCAACTTATTTTATAGCCTGTAATATAACACGGTGCCCTGGTGGTGCAGTAGTTAAGCGTTTGACTGCTAACCAAAGGGTCAGCAGTTCGAATTCACCAGCAACTCCTTGGAAACCCTATGGGACAGTTCTGCTCTGTCCTACAGGGTCTCTCAGTTGGAATCAACTTGACAGCAATGGATTTTTTAATATAACACACTCTAAAACAGCAACAATAAAGAGTTTAATTTTGCTTTTCCCTGTCTGTTCATCTTAGTACCCCCAGGGCCCGTCATAACTTCTAACTCATAGTAGGTACTCAATATACATTTGTTAAGTAACAAAATGAATACATGGGCCGATAGCAGACTCTCATTAAATCATCTGAGTGGAGATTTGCTTGATTTATTCTCAGTCACACTGGGTCTACCTGGATAGGTATCAAGAAATTACCCATGACTAGTTTGGGTCAAGTTCTCTAGCCTCTTTTAGGTCTGTCAGATTTTGATAGAGAAGTTAGAGTAGCCTTGGGCTTTTCGAACATTTTGATCAAGTAGCCTTAATTGCAGGAGAGAAGGAATGGATAACTCAAGGCATCTGGGTGGGCATAGTCTGAAGCACAGTTCTTCAAATGACATTTCAAGTTTCATATCTTATGTGGGTTTTTTTCTTTCTACTACATAACGTATCTATGTATTTTATAGAAAGAATGTTTACCCCCACCCACTCCTGAATCTTTGAGAACAATTGATACTCCAGGAAGAAGAGCTATTTAATTCTGTGCTTGAATATTTCTGGGGGGTGGGGTAGGGTGGGGTGTCAAGACACCTGGATTTTCCTTTAGGTTCTGTCATTTTTTTCTTCCTTAGGGGAAAGGGTTGGAGTTCACAATCCCTAAGGTTCTTCTGTCTCTAAAATGCCAGGACTTTTTGTAAGCAGCTCCTCTTATATTGCTGATGGGACGACTTGTCTGGGATTGGAAATAAAATTCTGTTTATGAAGAGGTGAGGTTGTTCATTTGGAAGAAAGTTCACAATTGGAGTGAGTTTTCATAAAATTTTACTATCTGGTGATGAATTGCAGTTGGATCTTAATTATTGCCAGGCAGTTCTTATAATGTACCCATTATAACAAAATCACTTCGATTTGGTTTGTTATAATCACAAAAGTTTGTTACAATAGAATTTACCTGCCCTACTCATTAATATGTGACCTATGTAGGGAGAGAACCTTTTTCAATCTGAAGGACTTCTGTTCCACATAACTATGTTGATAGCTACTTTTGTCGTAGAACCTCAAAAGAGCACGACCCACCGGATTGCTAATTACATTTACTGACCAACTAAAGTTCATGGAATTTACAATTTGTTTATCCTACTTTAGAGATATAAATATATATGACACTACAGGGCAGAAATCCCAGTAAAACTCTCTAAAGTTCTAGAACAGGGCTTCTTATATTTTAGGGCACAAAAGTATCATTTGAGAAGCTTTAAAAAAAAGACTCATGGCCCCATCCCAAGACATCCTAAGATACCCCAATCTGGGGTGAGACCCAGGAATCTGCATTTTGACAAGTCCCCTTCCCATGTAACTTTGATGTATGGGGTCAATGCACAAAAAAAAGGACAATGGTCAATGTAAATTCTAGAATTAAGTATGCCTTAGGAAGACAAAGTTCAAGAATCCTTACTGATTAATGGTACACAACTACCACAGCCTCCACCATACTGAGTCCAACACAACTAGATGGTGCCCAGCTACCATCACCAACTGCTCTAACAAGGATCACAGTAGACGGTCCCAGACAGAGCTGGAGAAAAATGTAGAACAGAATTCAAGCTCACAAAAAAATACCAGACTTACTGGCCTGACGGAGACTGGAGAAACCTGGAGAGCATGGCCCCTGGACACCCTTTTAACTCAGTACTGAAGTCACTTCTGAGGTTCACCCTTCAGCCAAAGATTAGACAGGTTCATAAAACAATAATACATGTAGCTCAGCCACGTATATGAGACTAAATGGGCACACCAGCCCAGGGGCAAGGACGAGAAGGCAGGAGGGGACAGGAAAGCTGGACAAATGGAAATGGGGAACCCAAGGTTGAGAAGGGGAAGTGTTGACACATTGCAAGTTTCACAACCAATGTCCCAAAAAAAATGTGTATTCATTGTTTCATGATAAACTAATTTGCTCTGTGAACCTTCACCTAAAGCACAAAAAACAAAAAACAAAACAAACAAGAAAACAACAAGATAGATTTTAAAAAATCCAGGATTAATTTTCTTCAATCATAAAAAAAAGAAAGAATCCTTACTGAGGACTTTGAATGAAGCCTAAGGATTTCCACGCATTGTTAAAGAAAGCTGTTGTATGTAAGCACGTGCACACGTATAATACTGTGTGTGTGTACTTGTGTGTTTTAATGTCCAAAATTGCTCAATTGATTGTATTGCTGTTTTTTTTCTTTTAGTAGCAATGAGTTTATTTATTTTAATTTTAAGGAATGAGTAATTTCACAAGATCGTGGATCGTGGATCCTATTTTTCTTTGTGCTTCACTAGGCCAAAAGGCAATAGCTCTTGGCATTACGCTAAGATACTGGAGTTACAGGACGTTAGCAAAGAAATAAAAAACCTGAAGTAGAATAGATAAGATTTTCTGATTTTCCAATACATATCCTGTTAGTACTATAAGTAATATTTCCTCCCTCTTAAAAGTGGTGGTTTTACTTTTCCCTGGAAGAAAAGGTGAATGTAGGGCAGAGAGAAAAAAAAAAAAATAGGGTAGGAAAAACAAAGTTTTGTCTCTGAGCTGCCCACCTTTCCACCTGGAACCACCAAATAAAAGAAGTGAGAGAGAACAAAAAAGATGACCTTTCAAAGTTATACTCTGAAATTTCATGCAACCTCTCTGTTGCTTGCTTGGAAATTTCGTACTCCATTTCAGCTGTGAAATCCGAGTTGGGATCAGCTGTTCTATCTTTCACTCGACACTGGGGTTCACGTGGGCCTTAGAGGGAACTCAAAGCTGTAGGCTGGTAGGTACTTTGTTCCTAACCCCAGGCATGGGTCTGGGATTGGACTGTGACTGGCCGGTCTTGGGCATAAGAATCCTTCTCTCAGACTGATGGAGAGTCTTGTTGTTGGAAGGTTGTGAATTGGGGGCCATCCTCCTTGTCTCATGGAAAAAGTGACTAAAGCTACAGAGAGAAAAAGCAGAGATGAGACAGATGGGGGCAAACGAGATTCCTGATTGTGTCTTTTGCCTCTGTGGAACCAGTCACGCCTGAGGCTAGACCATCCTTGGA